CTTTTTAATGTGGGAATTCATTTTCATATATTTGTGCTCTCTAGAACTGATGTAAGTGTGTGATTCAAAGAAAACGACATAGTATAACAGTCTGAGATCTTGTCAATATGCAACGGTAAAGAGTGAAGGTTTATCCTAAATGAGCACTTGCAGAAAAAAGACACCATCAGACAACTAATTAGACATTTTTTAAACTTTTAGTTGGGATGAACAGTAACAGTTGATATGACCCACTGATAGCAGTGTTTGTCATTTTAACAGGTAAAACTGCAATTTGATTGTCAATAATTTATACACATGAGTAGTGTCCTTTATCTAAATTATGCATTTAGGCATTGAAAACAATCTCTTATCAGGCCTTCAGTCTTTGTCTAACAATTATACAAATAAGTTGATTTTACCAGTTAAAACAATAAAAACTGAATTTCTACTGCGCTGTTGTTCCAAGGACATGCAGGTATTGTCCTCAGTTGGCTGCCAACCTGTCAGATGGCTCATTTAACATTTGGCAGTAACAAATTTGAAAGAAACTACCATTGATGTTTTTAGCTAGTAGAACACTGATTTCTCGCTTCCAACTTTCTTCTTCCAACTATACTCACTACACAGTTTTCAGTTCGTATCACACAGGGAGGATTTTAGACATGTATTCAGCCAAGGGTGACAAAAATGCCCTAACTCAAGATTCATTAGTGTCTATATTTTGTACCGAAGGTCCTTCATTTCCTCTTCAACCTGCATAAACAAATTTATTTTAAACTAATTTTTGTTTATATAGTAGAATAATATAAAGTTAAATTAAGCAGTCATTTCATTTAAAAATATTTATATTCAAGGATGTTTATACGGACTAAGACGGAGTGTACACAATAGCTTTTCTTTTTGTTCCAGAAAGCCAGCATAGTTTTTCAATTGTTCACAATTGGATCGCCTCATACTTATACAATGTTAAAAACGGCAGGCACTCGAGGCAGTGAGCTTCTAATCTGCAGTGAGGAATGCGCGGTCGGCTGTTCACTTCACCCCCCAAAGCTAAAGAGGTTCATCTCTGGGTAAAAAACTGTTTGTCACAGTCCCTTCTTTAAACAGTCATTCATTTACAGAGGCTGATGGGACCAATAACACACCAGCAACTACCACATTTTACTTGTACAAGTGCTAACAACAGTGGAGAAAGTTAATCCTGCTGGTTTTTGACTACCCGAGCTAATGGAATTTTAAATACAGTCTAAGAATTGTTTTAATACTTGGATAAAAATCCTTTTCAGTCATTTAATCCCTAAAGTCTAGAGCCCTTGGACACCCTTGGTTTCCTCTCTTCAGATGCTCTGTTAGGCCTTTACTGCAGCTGCCTTCAGTTGCTGCTGGTTTGTGGGTCTCTCTGCATTCAGTTTGGTCTTTAGTAACTGAAAAGCATCGTCTGTTGAGTTAAGATCAGCTAACTGGCTTGGCCATTGAAGACTATCCCATTTCACTGCCTTGAGAAAGACAGTGTTGTTTATGCAGTTTGCTTTGGGTCATTCGGGTCATTATCCATTTGCACCATGAAATGCTGTCCACTCAGTTTTGCTGTAATTGGCTGAATCTTAGCAGCGAGTAAAGCTCTGTATATTTTTTACACAATTAATCCTGCTACTTCTATTAGCAATAAACACTTATCACCTGGTTCCACTGGCAGTATACATGCCCATGTCATAACACTGTCTCCACCATGTTTGACAGATAATGTAGTATGCTTCAGATCATAAGTCTCTCCCTATCCATAATTTTACCAGCTATATCAGACGTTTCCTGACAAAGTCTAGTCTGACCCGCCTATTCTTGTGTGTAAACCCTCTGCACCTCCTCGGGAATGTTCCTGACTTGAATAGAGGTTGTAAAGTTTTTTTTCTTAAACAAGGAAATAATTCTGCGATCATCCACCTTAGTTGTCTTCTGTGGTCATTCAAGTCTTTTGGTGTTGCTGAGCTGGTCAGTGCATTTATTCTTTGATTTGTGTTACTCTGCAAAAACGTATGGACCTAAATGTAGGTAATGCTTAGTCAATTACATTAGCAGCATTCAGCTACAACCAGACTCAAGCAACAGATTACTATTATTAGTTATGGAAAAAACAGTGCACCTACAACTTGTTTTTTCCATCTGACTAGTTCAAACGAATGCATGATATCTTTAGTTAGTGTAAAAAAGCAAGCCTTGGATGGCACAAGCAGAAACACAAGTGTAAATGGCATTAAACACCATGGAGCCTTGGTTTAAAGCCCTGTGAGCTCTAGCAGTTATACAGGGATTAAAGTGGGCCTGAACAACCTGGAACAACGTTCTGACACCTTCGATTAATGAGTAATTAAATAGGCAGTTTAACACTAAATACTATCAGGCAAGTTCATTTTTTATTTGATACAGTCTGGCAGTGCTTTCAACTGTTGTCACAGAGACAGTAAAGTCATGACTCCAGCTGCATGCCTCCTCTTTTCCTTCTTATCCGTGTCATGCACTCATGCTGTCGATGTCAATAAAGTTTCTGTTGCCGTATATCAGCATCTATCTACCTCTACTTAAGAGGAGAGAGCATAACTGTGCAACTTTTTCTTTAAGTGGCAGGTTATCTCAGATACAGGATTTGAAACAGCTCAACAAATATCAGTGAACACACAAACTGTTTTTGTGCATCTTGGTGCACAATCTGTTTGCTAGCTTAAGGTACAAAGGCTCTGTTTTCCAGGGAGAAAAAAAACACTGACATGGGATAATTTTACTCTCAGAGATAGAGAAAGATAGAGGAAATAAATATAACAGCAGAAGCTGACAGATCATATTTAAAGGTAAGGACTGCTCTGCAAGTGACGTTTAATAAAATAAATATTTAAAGGTTAAAAAAATTAATTGTGTTGGATTGCTTTGAATCAGACAGTGGATCTGTATATGATGAAGTTATCTAGTTATATTAGAAGCACTTTCAAATATGTTTTTCAATGAGAAAAGGTTACACTCCACATCCATTATATGTCCCAATAATTAACATTTAAGGGAAACTGTACATTAGCAATATTTGTTTTACTATCTTACATTACGTTGAATATAATTGCCATCAACATTTAACCAAACATTATCATTGCATTAATTAAAATATTGTTGAAAGCTGAATGTCATTAATAAGGTGAATCTCAATTAATTTTCAGAGAAACAGCTTTATTATCAAAGACAGCTAAGCTGAGCTGTCATATAAATGCTAAATGGCCTGTATTTGTATAGCACTTTACTAGTCCCTAAGGACCCCAAAGCGCTTTACACATCCAGTCATCCACCCATTCACACACACATTCACACACTGGTGATGGCGAGCTACATTGTAGCCACAGCCACCCTGGGGCGCACTGACAGAGGCGATATGGTCAGGATTTTAAGTTATGCTCATTTTTAGGCTGCCGTTTCCCTCCGTAGGTTTTATGGTGGCGACACGCTTACGAAGGCTCTGACTCTTGTATTTGCTCATCAACAAATCTTTTGTGAACTATAATTTGAAGACTTGGGTCATCATTCAGCCTATATAGACACGTATAAACTGTTTACATCTCAGTGCTGTAATATAAAACAACCATAACACCTGTGTTTGATTCATGACATGGTTCTAGGATTTCAATTGTAGGAACAAATTACTTGAAGCTTGCCTTAATAATCTTTTAACATTCAATTACATACAGGCCATTATGATATATCAGTATTATGATACAGTAATACTATCTAAATATGTTAAAGCATCAAACAACATTATGTTATTAGTATGAGGTTGCAACAAGTTTAATGTCAGTATCAGTAAAAAATGCAAACATTTTAGTGCTACCATACGTTATCAATATACTGCAGTACTACAGCTACTGGACAGTAATAGAAATCTAGATCTTTATTTCATATTGGGAAATATCTTTGAAAGCAGATTAAATCATAGATTTAATGTTATTCAAATGCCGTATTGGACAGTATGTGCAGAATAAACTGGGTAAACTGGGCTGTTTGCAGTGTTCTTTTACAGTTTACAGTTATGCAGAACTGGTGCAGGGCAAACTGTGGTATCCATGTTCATTACCATGGTCTATACTTATAAGATCAGACCAGAGATTCTTTACATACAGTTTTTATTTCTTCTTGACTATGAAAATCAAGGTTAATTCAGACACTGCTTTAAAATAACCATCCAAATAAAGCAAAAGATCGCTGCTGAGTAACAGGACTCGGCTAGGAGTCAGTTTGCATTTCTGATGATATTCTTTGGTAACACTTGCCAAATTCCACATTTATACCAGCTTCATAGTGGCTAGCAATCAGACATCTGCCTTGATGGCTCATATAACATCTGCTTGTATATTGTAGAATGTAGATGGCTAAAATCAGAATGAGTAGGAAACCTCAAAAGCAGCATCAGACTAGGTCAGCTGATCACAGCCGGTTTAAAAACAAAGCACATGTACTGGAGCTCATATATATATTATTATATGATTTATTGCAGAGTGAGTCATTTCTCCAGACTGCACTGCTTCACCAGAACTTAGTATTCTCTCACCTGCAAAATCCCACTTTAACCCCTGCTTATACAGACAGGCTCATTAGAATGAAAATATTTTTAAAAGCCACATTAGTGCCATCTTTTACTGTCAAAATGTCAGTAGTTCACAGTGTATGTGCATAAGGAAGAACAACGTCATAGTGAGCTAGAAAGCCCTGAAGATAAAGAAAATCCAAATAATGCAGAACTGTAGTGAAGAAGTCAAGTGTAATAGCAAGGCTCCAGAATAACCATCTTTAAACCAGATAAGCTCATTTCTTATTAATAACAGTCAAAGTAATAATTAATCATGACATCAGAAGTCTGTAGTTACAAGTTTGACAGTGCTTGTCTCAGTACATTCAGCTTGGAGAGGTGGTGTCTGGGATATAAATTTCTATGAATCACAGTCTCTGCATGTTAAATAGATAAAACAAATCAATCTACTGGAACTTACCATCAAACTTTTTATGCCTGGAGACAAATGTTGTTCTCATTTTGTGGCTGCTCTCCTCAACCAATTTCTCAAACTCCAGTTTGCTCTGCTGGTTAAGTTTGTCCTCCATCTCTGACGTGCAGCAGGTGTATCCCTGAGGACAGACACGCAGGTGCTCACCTGAGGAAGACAGAGAGGCAGAGCGGCATTTTTACACACGTCACCGCTTCGACATTCAGATGCTCGAAAAGGCTGAACCGAGTCTTTGATCAAAATTCTCTTGTTATTTTGTCATTCTCATCACTGAGGCAATCAAAGTGGGCCAGACCGTAACAAACGGGGTAGGAAAACATTTGTCGGTCATTTGGAATCATGAATCAGAGAGTGTCTGTGATAGCAGAGCTCCTACACCTCATGTAGAATCCCCCTTATATCACAAAGCAAAGCGCTGCAATAATGACTGCTTTAATGAATATTATGTACATGAAATGAAAGGCACAGTGCTAAGTCATGTCAAGGAAATTTATTTATATAGCCTAACACCACAAATTGGTCTCAAGGCTCTTATCAGCATGCCCTTAGCTATGACATCAGCCAAACATTTAATTAAACTGCATGGATTAATTTACGATGTCTTGACTTTGGCACAGCAAGCTGTAAATGAACACTGACATATTTTTGCCATGGAAACAATTGCTTATTTACACATTCACCACATACCGAACAACATTAACATTCATTTCAAGTCATGCTATCTGACACATGATGAAGCTAACTCTCCATTCTGTTCTGCTCGTGGTTTTTATCAAAACTGGAATGAAATATTTGTCTTTTTGGCTGCCAAATGCTCCATCATGTTCACCAGCTCGTTGCTAACCGTGCGTGTTTGCTCTTTTGTTCAGAGCAGGAAGGCTACAATGAACTTATCATAACTTTTTAGTTTTCCTAAAAACAACTTTGCTTCAAAGATGAGACCAAAACAATATCAAGTTGCTAGACTGAGAGATGAGAATATTGTTTTGCAGATTACGGCGAACAACTGTGTTGCACAGATGCGCTGGTATCCATGGTCACTGTTAGGTGCCGGGGAGCATCAGAGGCATTATAAGAGGCTGACAAGCCAGCGAAAGATATCAGATGTGACTGTGTATTGTGTGCGTCTGTGCAGTTTTTATTTCCCACAGTCCATTAAAATGAGAGTTAATTTAGGCAGAGCTGAAAAACTCACGCCATATTCTACATATCACAAAAATAACATTTAATATAAATGTTTAAATTTCTCAATATTTATTTTTACACTATATCTCATGCACTCTGGTGCGCTGTTGCTGGCATAAGAACAACATTTAAAAGATTTATTTTAAAGACTGATTCACTCAGATTAAAAAAATGTTTTGGGCTTATTGTTATTTTACATAGTCGGGTGGTAAAATCACCAGCATTAAGGCTTCACATGCCACCTGATTACAGTGATATTAACTCAAGGATAGCAGCATTTCTTTTTGCCTTGCTCGCTTACTTTTTAACTTTCTACACTGCGAACAAAATTACACAGCAACCTTTAGGTATCAGTGAGAGTTAGTTAAGAAATACTTGTTGTAGTCTCTCTAAGTAGAAAATAAGAGATGCTGTGCGTGCGTTTTGTAATGAGATGTTTTACAGAGCCTTGGACTCTCGTCTTCTTCTACATAATTTGATTTTGAAGCATTAATTTAATAAACTGTGAAGTGTTTGACTATTACATCAGTTAGAGAAAAATTCTCGAGTCCACTCAGACGTCAGTGTATAAAAGTGTATACCAAACCAATGAAATGACTCCAAGATCCACAAAGAGAAATACTGGAACTGAAGGCCTGAAGAATTTTCAAAACTTGGAGAATTCACACTAGATTTTTTTTTTTTTTGTAAATGAGTAAAAGTTTTACTTTACTGGGTTTCGAGAAAGGTAACAATCACTTAATTATGCCACACATCTGAAAATCCTTTCACTGAAAAAGTGAGGGGTTTAGTCTCAGATCTGTGGATTATTCATGGTGAATAGAGTAGTTTTCAAAAATACTGATTTACTTAAAGGGATGAGGAAAATTATTCTGATGAAATCAATAAATTATATCTACACCCATAATGCACAACACTATCTGCAAAAGACCATAAAATGAGGTTTATTTATTCCAATAATTAATCATTAAGGAAAATATGTTTAGTATAAACTAAATGTATCAGTCAAGTATATTCAATATCATCAGACTTGAAATTTGACATTTTACTTGCATATCAGACTTACATGAATAATCTACAAGTAACTATGTTAACTAATGTTAGCATTTTGGGCATAAAAATGACCAAGCCAGAATTAATTTTCCAGTTAATAAATGAAATATAAAACCAGATCCACAGAAAAAACAAAAAAATTGTTTGCCAAAAACCGAAACGAATGCTTAAATGCAAACAGAGGCTTTAATCAGTAAAAGTGACTAAGAGCTCCATGTGAGTGGTGTGTACATACATCTTTTTTGCACAGAAATTTGTACTTTCATACTACTACCCATTTTAAGAGGTTTTCCCATTACTAATAAACTAAAATGTAAAATAAAACTTAAAAAATGTTGGAAAAGTGTTGCTAAATTCCAAAATCTAGGCTTTTTTTTAAATTAAAAACAAAAATACTTATCAAATTGTGGTTTTTGTTTTTGTTACCTATAAAGTTGTTGCTGTGATCTTTGTGCCAGAGCCACACAACCTTATAGGAAAGTTTAAGGCTGGGAAAAAGTCCTCCCACACAAGCAAAAGCTCAGCGTCTTAGTTTCTGTCAAACACTTAAACTGGTCCGAATGTGAGTTTTCATCTGGTTGTCTTCCTGCAACAACACACACCAGCAGTTATCATCACATGATTATATTAGTTTTTTTGCCCAAGAAATATTTGGGCAATTTTTTTGGAAAAAAATTACCATAATGCATACTGTATGTAATTTTTTTCTGCATGCATGCGGTATTTTATTTCCTCTTCTGCAGAGAGCATCAGACATCATTATTAGTTGTTTTTTTTTTGTCTGGCCAGCAGTCACATAAAATATTTGTGTTTTTCCCATTCTATCTATTAACATTTGGGAAAGTGAAATGAGTATCGATTTATCAGTGGAGGACAGAACAGAGAGATTGTAGGATTTCCTCTGAGGAACACAATGCAGGCACTGGCAGGCACACTGCATGCATATACAGTAAGCTGCAGATAAAGGAGCTGTGTATAGATAATGAAACAAGAAGATGCAATATGTACGTGCTGGCACTCTCAAATGTGCTTAATCCTTAATCAGTCCTTAGAGAGGCACCAAGCTACAGTAATGAGGTGCACCATCAACAGTTCAACACAAACTCGTTTCTCCAGAGTAATGCACAAGGCTCCGAGCCACAGCATCCAAACTCTACAACACAAAATAAGCTGAAATGCACCACTCACTTTCTATTAGGCGATTCCTTAAGGCTTTTTTGTTTCTTTACTAAGCAGCAATGTCCTATTTTTTAACAAAGTAACAGCTGCAGATAACGTCCACTACATTGGGATTCAATCAAGCGCATGCATATGGATTGAATCTACAGGCTGGCGACCTGTCCAGGGTGTACTCTGCTTCTTGTCCAATGACAACTGGGACAGGTTCACGAGGGAAATAGATGTATGGAAAGTTAATTAGCACAAATACATTAACATGTAAATTTTACAGTAACTTGCTGAAAGCTGGATGCCAGTAACCAACTGTAAAAAAGGATTTGGAGGAACTTTAATTTACAGCAAATAAAGCTGCTGTAATTTAATTTACAGTAAAAGTAAACACCTTTAACAGTAAGTTGCTAGTATCCAGCTGCCAGTAAGTGAGTGTATTTTTATATATGGTATTTTGTTACAATATTTAAATTTAAATTGCTATAGTTTTTATTTATTTATTTATTTATTTTTGCTCAAACAATAAAAATGCAGCTTCATTTAAAATGTACATCTCTACCAAAGAAAACAGAGTTTGAGATGATATACTGATATAGTTCCAGTGAAGTAAATAGTTTTCACACATAAAGTTTTGGTATTTTCGGCTTTTCAGCCAAGACTCATATCTTTTAGCTTGGGTTGCATTTAAGCTCTCGCTGACAGAAGCACGGGGTATTTAAAGTATCAGTGTAGTTCAACATTGTCAGTCATATTGTTTAAACAGGGACATTATTAAACTGAGGAGCTAAGGA